GTTAGTAAAATACTTTTTTGGGAATTGAGACCCTAAATAAAGACGGAGATTTATTAGCCTGCAAATGGGCTAAATTGAGCAGAGAGATTTACACAGTAACAATTAATTTGTTATCAGTTGTCTGGATACGATTTAATTATTGTGATTTGGTTGGTATTCGTACAGGGACTAACTCTTCAGAGTTCTTGTTGCATGTGTTCATAATAAATGAAAGTTTTGCAGTGATTTATATCTGTACGCTCAGAATGACATAGCTGAGATGAAAATGTAGCTATGCATCAGTAAAAATACAGCATCCCATTGTCTTACATAATTCTATATTGGTATTTTAATTGGTATTTTTAATTTTAATTGTGGCTATGCCATTGTTGGCACTTTAAATGCAAACAGTTTTCAGTTTAAATAATTTACGATGCTTCAGAAAATAAAAATATACAGATATTAAAAATTAATAGGTTACCATTTCCCCTCTGGAGACGTTCCATGTGCCTTTTAATCCACCGAAACGTAGTCTTGGTATTGTCTGTACAGCCACGATCGCATCCTACTTAGAAATACAGCATTATGGTAATAGCAATGATACAAATAATGGCACTTGGTAAATCTAGTTGCAGTTTGCTCCCTTAAGTGCTATCTATAAGGTTTAGAGAGACAGGGATTTGTCTGGAGGTTTGTAGTCTTAAGATGATGATGTTTTTTAGGACTGGGAGTATGTCAGGAAATAACCTGCTGAAGGGCCTTAGGTTAAATCTAACCTCTTAACCAGTTATAAAGTATTTATGATGACACTTTCAAATAATAATGTAATAATTTATATAACTTTCATGTACTTTGTCTATTACCAAATACTGTGGTTACTGAATTGTGTTGAATTCCTTAATATACTGAAAAGCCACTGCAGCAAGCTGAGAAAACCCAACTCGGACTGGTGAACTTATGTACCCCACTGAAGCCACTCACCACTTGTGTGGTAAGCAGAAAGCAGAGGGAGATAAACAAGTTTGAGGGACTAGTTTGTAAAAATCTTCCTTCAGCAGGCATTGAAAGGATGGGAAAGTGGTAAGGAAGCCTTCCCACACAGTCCTGTTAAGACCAAGCAAGCAGTAAAAAATTCTGTTTCATTTAGCAGTTTCCAGAGCTAACTTGAAGCTTATTCTAGCCAATGGTTCAAAGGAACCTTGAAGAACAAAGGAATTTGAATATAACTAATTAGAGAGGTATGCTAATATTGTCCCCGTTTCAAAGATGTATAATTAATTTAGAAAAACAACGGTGTTGGGAGATGCCACAAAAGCCAGGAAAAACTGAAAAGGTGTGGAACCGTTGAAAGCATTCTTCCTAGATGCCTGCAGTATTGTTTGACGTATTATTGACATACTCGAAGAGGCAATGCTGACCTGTTTTTTCCTTTGTTAGAAACTACTAATGTGTTGCTTTGATAAAACAGGGTTTGATACATTCTAGATGTGACCATTTAAGTGGAGGACATTCAGATTTACATGTTCTTAATATTGATGCATGTATATATTATTAATATGTTTTGTTTATATACCAACTGTTTATAAGATACACTTTATTTGACTGCTGTGCTCATAAAGAGCATCATAAAAAATTGTCTCTAAGCCGTGGCTGGTATTTTGACAGATTCATATATTTGGGGTTAGGAGGTGAACGTGGCAGTTGAGAGTTCTTTCCCTTCCCTCTTCTGATGGTGAACCACCCAAGTTGGCTCACCAGCGTACGCGCTAGTCCTATTTGGAGGAAAATGACTGTAGGGCTCCAGGAATCTGAGTTTTGCCCTCTGTGCAAGGAATGCATCTGGGCGTGTATGACTGAGGTAAAGAAATGGCTTGTCCTAAACTAAACAACTAAGAGGAACTGTCCATCTTAGCTTGAGTTAATTCAGACTGCACTGTCTCCTGGCAAAACGCTTTACTTGATTCTGTCAAATATACTTTGCATTTTTATACAGATAAGATTTCTCGGGACTGGTCCGTCTTGAACCTTCAGCGCTGAAATCGGCACATTCTGAACACACTGTGTTTTCTGCCCCACTTGTTAGAGTTCAGGTGTCTGTAGTCCACCCAAGTAGACTTCTCTGCTGTGTCTTTCACCTTCCTGTTCCCGTTGTTTGAAGTGAACATTTGGAGCATGGTAATAGTACGTGTCAGATGCCATTGTAGCTGCTTTGGAAATATTTGAGATAGATCCGTTTCGGCATCTCTTGTGGAGGGTGGGAAGGTGCTGACCACTCCTTAGCACACAGAAGTCAGCTGCTCCCGCAGGCAGCAGGTTTTTGATCGGTGTGAAACGTCCCCCGTGTAAAGGCAGAGAGTAACATTTCAGTGGAGCCTGAATCAATGAGATCTGTAGTTCAGGGTTGTGACGGTACTTGTCAGGAGAAAGCGCAATCATCTGGTTTTTAATTGTCAAAACGTAGTCATTTCAGTTTGAGCAGATGCTTCATCAGCTCTGATGTCTCTGAGCTTTTGCTTTGACAATCATACACTTCCACAGCACACGAAACTTCTCATTATTGCTTTCATACTTAATGAGTAAGTAACGAACAGCGACTGGCACATGCCCTTAGTGAGGGTTTGATATACAGTTTCCCAGCGTTCTTCACGTTACACGGTTGAAAATGAGAGAGAAAGCAGAGTAACCTCGTTTTGTGAGCGAGGAGCAATTGTCTCTCACTGTGAGCTTTGGCTTTGCGTCGAAGAAGTGCCTGTATCGCATTCCTTAACCTCAGTGCAGAAAAAAACTGCTGTCCAGAGTCATTGTGACCAGAGAGCACTCTCTTCACCGTTCTCTGAAGGCTGTAGTTTAAAGTCAGAGTATGATTTATGGTGTGGCTGAGCCAATCTAATTGCAGGCTTACCCTTGGGTCACTCGAGAACTAGGGATAGCAGAAGGTAGGTAGCATGGCCTCAGGGACAGAGGAGCAGTAGCGGCAATGTCTCTTGGTTGTAGCTCACATGGAGTTTTACAACACAAATCAGCTGATCTGTCCTTCTGGTGGGTGAAATTCAGGGTTATTTTTGCTGCTGTTGCTAGAGAAAGCTGCTTTCAGATGTGATTTATAAGTTTTTTAAGTAGCTTAGTGACTGTATCTTGTGTTTAATACTAATTTGGTGATTGGGAGACTGCACTCTTTTGCTTGAGTCCCTTCAGCAGAGCTTTGCTTCCTTGCGGATTGAAGGGCAGTAGTACCTTGTGTGTTAATTTGGGCAGTTGGGATTCAATGCCGGGCAGTTCCAACTCATCTCAACTGGAGATGCAGCTGTGATTAGCTTTCGCCTCCTCCTAATGGGTATTTCCACTAGAACAGCCTCGCTGCTGGGAGATCCCACTGTGTGTCCTCAATTGATAACCAGCTCTGCTCTGTTCGTGAGGGTTGTCCTAAGCGTGTCTGAGCTGTTTAGGGGAAGAGGGAATTCCTTCTCCACCGTTATTATTGGAGCTCCTGCTTATTGAATCTGTTTATCCTCTACTGCCACTTTTTTGTGTGTGTTTTGTTATTTTTTCCCCAATATTGGTGTCATTGAATTTATTTGCTTTAAGTACCTTGAAATTGGCTCTACTTAGAATATTTTAAAATATTTATTAAATGTCATGAGGCTCAAGATTTAGTATTTTCTGAAGAATAATAATTCCACAGTGTGGAGTGAATATCAGTTGCATTTGTTATCTGCAGTACAGTTGTAGGACTTAGAGGCCCCAAGAGACTTCGGTAGCTTACGTGCTAAGTGCTGTAAAGACGTGAAATAAGAAATCATGTCTACTTGAGAGAATTTATATTCTAAATAGACAAGTCAGAAGTGGAAAAATGGGAGATTTTGCACAGCAAAGACAAGAATACCTTCTGAGTTCAGAGTTGTGCTGCCTAATTACAGAGGTTTAGACAAGTGGGTGGTGATCAGCACCTCTGATATATACTCCTCCATGGAGATTTACCAACTTACTCCAGTTTTATTTTTTATTTTTGCATGAGGCTTTCTGACTTGCAATCCTGAAGAGATCCTGTGTAATTATTAGTGCAGTAAGGCACTATTAATATAAAAGTTTAAAGTTGCTTTTATCCACTAACTGTAGCAATCTTTTTTTGCTTGTGACAGATATGCCAAGAATTCAACAGCACTTGGGCTTGGGAGATGGAAAAAAAAGGATACTTAGAAATGAGTGTTGAATGCAAACTGGGGATTCTGAAGGTATGCAGTCATCAGCTAAGTTTCTAAATGATTTTTTACTCACTCGCCTGAATATCTTGGATGTTTTTGCTTTTTCACTCTCTTAAACGTCTTGCAAATTTAACTTGACTGGAACCGTAAGTGGATGTGTTAAATGTGGAGCTGATCTTGTCACAGACGTGATGCTCGTGGTAGTGAGCTGGGTCCAGACTGAATGTAACACTTTGCATGAAACTTTGTATGAAAATTGTTTTGTACTTACTGTTTTGTGAGTAGCTATTTGCCTGTGCAGTACACTTTTTAAAATATTTATTAGCAACTTTTGAAGCTGACCAGGAAAAAACAAAACACAAAACACAAATAAAAATTGTCTCTCATGTAAAAACAACATGCTCTGGAAAATAAAATAGTAGCTATAGCTAACTCACAGACCCAATAGAGAGGCGCCTAAAAAGAAGTTCCAAATTACACTGAAAGGAAATGAGCTGATTCTCTTATTTCTGTTTATATTTTCATATTTTAACAGTCTTTCTACTTTCTCACTTTTTCAGTATCTCTGTGAATGTCAGTTTGATGACAATCTAAAATTTAAGAATATAATTAATGAGGAAGATGCTGATGCCATGCGTCTTCAGCCCATTGGTCGAGACAAGGATGGCCTGATGTATTGGTATCAGCTGGACCAAGAGCATAACGTCAGGATGTACATAGAAGAACAGGATGACCAGGATGGATCCACGTGGAAGTGCATTGTTAGGTAGTTCCCCCCTCCCCCGTCCTTTTTCTCTTTTTTCCTTATTTTGTAGAGGTTTTTAGCTATTTGTGACTGGGGTTCAGGAATTTATTTCAGTAAATCACCATTTCTCAAAGAGTAGGATTCAGGCCAGTGGGATTTTCTGCATTCATATGTATGTTTTAGTGAAAAGCCATGTACAGAACTGTCCTGGTTCTGGCAAGGATAGAGTTAATTTCCCAAGGAGCCAGGACAGGTGAGCCAAGCTGGCCGGGGGCTATTCCATACCATGGGACGTCATGCTCACCATAAAAGGGGGCTGGTCAGGGAGGGGTGGCGGACGGTCTGAGTGTGGGCTGAGCATCTGGTTGGTCATCGAGTCGGTAAATTGCCTTGTGTTATCAACCATTGTATATATTCTGTCATAAGTACCGTTGTTGTTATTTCTCTCTCCTTTCGCTGACCCAGTAAACTGTCCTTATCCCAACCCACAAGGTTTTGCCTTTGTCTTCCCATTTTCCTCCCCATCACGCTGGAGAGGGGTGAACGAGCGGCCGTGTAGTGCTCAGCTGCTGGCTGGGGCTAAACCATGACAAGAATTAACTCACTGATGTGTTGGTAATAGTCAACGTGTATCACGGACTGCTTTGGGTTGGAAGGGACCTCAAAGCCCATCCAGTTCCAACCCCCTGCCATGGGCAGGGACACCCTCCACTAGCCCAGCTTGCCCAAAGCCCCATCCAACCTGGCCTTCAACACTGCCAGGGAGCCAGGGGCAGCCACAGCTTCTCAGGGCAACCTGTGCCAGGGCCTCAGCACCCTCACAGGGAAGAATTTCTGCCTCCCATCTCATCTCCATCTCCCCTCCTGCAGCTTCAGGCCATTCCCCTTGGCCTGTCACTCCCTGCCCTTGTCACCAGTCCCTCTCCAGCTTTCCTGGACCCACTGCAGGGACTGGAAGCGGCTCTAAGGTCTCACCGCAGCCTTCTCTTCTCCAGGCTGAACCAGCCCAACTCTCTCAGCCTGTCTCCATAGCAGAGGTGCTCCAGCCCTCGCATCATCTCCGTGGCCTCCTCTGGACTCGCTCCAACAGCTCCGTGTCCTTCTTGTCCTGGGGACTCCAGAGCTGGACGTGGTACTGCAGGAGAGGATCTCATGAGAGCGGAGTAGAGGGGCAGAATCCCCTCCCTCGACCTGCTGGTCATGCTGCTTTTGATGCAGCCCAGGTTGGCTTTCTGGGCTGCAAGCGCACACTGCCGGCTCATGCTGAGCTTCTCATCCCCCAACACCCCCAAGTCCTTCTCCTCAGGGCTGCTCTCCATCCATTCTCCACCCAGCCTGTAGCTGTGCTTGGCATTGCCTTTGGCCTTGTTGAACTTCATGCGGTTTGCACGGTCCCACCTCTCCAGCCTGTCCAAGTCCCCCTGGATGGCATCCCTTCCCTCCAGCGTGTTGACCACACCACACAGCTTGGTGGTGTCAGCAAACTTGCTGAGGGTGCACTCGATCCCACTGTCCATGTCACCAACAAAGGTGTTAAACAGCGCTGGTCCCAGTACTGACCCCTGAGGAACGCCACTCGTAATTTGTTTTCTGCTTAATGAAGCTACAATGGATATATGGAAAGGTTGCCAAGAGAAGACTTCCTTGAGGACGATGGCTCCATATTGCTCCCTGGCCAGCTAAATGCCTTAGAAAACGGAGGAGGACTCTTGCTTCTTTAATTTCCTCTCCATTAGGACAATTAAAAGTGGACAGTTTTGTTCTTGGGGGAATTAAATTGCACTTTTAAGTTTATGTAACTACAAAACTTTTGACAATACAAATAGGCACGAAAAACCTTCCCGAATATAACTCAGCTCATAGATCACTAAAGATGAGGTGTGTGATGTTGATGCAGGCTGATGTACATACAGGACTCGGTGCCTCTGGGTCTCAGTTGCTGCAGATTGGTCTGCTAATATTTTAATGACATTTTAGCTTCAGATTTATTTTTTTGTATGATTCTTGTTATATATGTTATTTTTCACTTTCCTACTCTATGCGAAGAATATGGAATCTTTCTTACTGGAAAAAGAATTAGTTTGAAATTTGTTTCGTATCTACCAGTTACCCATTTTTAGTTTATCTCCGTGTAAATTTCTTTTTTTAAATTTGATTAGTTCCAAGCAGATTTTAAACTGGACTCAGCAGAATCAACTCGGACATAAGGAGTGGCATAGACCTGTAACAATAGATCGAAGCAAAGTCAAATAACGTGGAGTTTTTTCTGTTTGTAAATTTTCATTTTTATATCTGCAGCTTATTTACACATCCATAACCTTAATAACCATGGGAGTCACACAAAACTATTTAAACCACTATCAATGGGCCATAAAATGATAAGTGTTACCACCAGTGAAATTTAGACAGCTGTTGTGGGTGAATAAACTAGAGGTATCTAAACAAACCAATTGAGCTGAGCGGTGTTTATCTCTTTTCATGCATTATAGACTCCAGAGATCAATGCCAAAAGTGGAAGAAATCGGGGTTCTGCTGGGAAAGTTCTGCCACTCCACACTCACAGCAGAAAAACACAATAATGCATTGTAAAAATCTGCAATGGTTTTAAACCCATGAGATTCTACAGCTCAGGGTTGTTGCACTTCCAAGCCTCCTCTCTTTTTTTTTTTTTTTTTTCTGCAAACCTGGGCAAAAGAAGTTGTTGAATGTTTACTTTGAAAAAAGAAATGGGAGAGCCTTATTATTCTACTTTATTATGAAAACAATGACTCTGCTTAATCATAACTGAAATTCACTGTGTGTTAAGGTGTTGGTTTTTCCAGTTAGATGTCCAGTTGAAATAAGGGGCCGCAGTGGACTGAGATTCTCACGCATAGAGATGCACAAACGTTTTTTCACTATCAAGTAGCTTCTCGCATAACTCAAGTAGCTGGAGTTTTTTAGACATTTTTGTATTGTTTACTACATGTGTTTAGGATGAGTACTTGTTAAAAGTATCTAAATTATTTAATTGCTTGTGAAAATTTCATTGAATGATGTGGTTGCTCCTTTGGTCCATGAGCAGAAAACTACAACTTCCTCTCTGCTGAGAGAAAAAAAAGAAATTACAAAGAAAAACCAGTGAGGACTAGTAAGGGAGTAATAAATGAAACAACAGTAGTAGTAGTTTGGATCTAGACCCGACAGGGCTTGAGTTGAGATAGATAAGGTCCTTCCAAAAAAGTGATTTTATTTTGGTATGGATAAATCGGAAGGGTTCTGACTGCGAAGTTGCAGCTGCTCGGGGGGTGCAGGCATTTCACTGTGCTTGTATATAAGGTTTTCAGGGCAGTGTTCATTTGAGCAGATGGTGTGTGTTTATTTTTTATGGATCCCTTTGGGGTGAGTGAGTAAGTGGCTTATCAGACACTATGTTTTTTCTTCTGTCATCTAGAAACCGCAATGAGCTTGCCGAGACCCTTGAGCTCTTGAAAGCACAAATTGATCCTGCCCTGTTGAAAACCAACAATTCTCAGCAGGAGAATTCATCACGTGAAAGCCCAAGCATAGAAGATGAAGACACCAAAAAGGGTGAAGAAGCATCTACACAAGGTTTTCTGCCTTCTTTTCTCAAATTTTAAATGTTGTGCTGTCGCAATGTTAGAATTTTCAACTTCATGAAAAGTTACTGTGTTAGATTAGAACTTCCTAAAAAAAAAAAACAACCCCCAAACAACAAAACACAAAAAATGTTTCTGTTCAAAGTCAAGTAAACACTGAATACTTTGAAATGATAAATATTTTTCGAGTTCTTTTAGTGCTTATTTATAAAAAGAGAACTGTGTATAAATTGTTTTCTAAGTAATTTTATTTTTGCTGTACATTTTGTATAATATTGTAAATGCTCATCATTGTATGTTTTTGTGGGGCATTGAACTGTTGACAAACTTTTCCTGTTCTAGCAACATTAAAATTTTTAAAAGAAAAAAAATCTGGCTTGTGCAATGCCATGATTGAAATCGATACAGTATTGGGTGTGTTATTTATTTTTACTGTCGAGTTTGAATCAGAAAAATATAGATTATGTCCTCAAATGTTTCACAATCGACATGATTTTTTCAAGAAGACATGAGCTTAAGTTAAAACAATTCAAAATACGAAAATATTTTGCAAGTGAAGTGATCCTTAGCTGCCTCCACTGTTTTGTTGTTTTTAGCAAAGAACCTTTTTGCCTTTTCTTGTCATGTCATTGCACGTATTTACTAACTTGCCTGACTTGTTGGTTTGTGCATTGGTTTTACTAAGTACCAGTTAGCCTGAAGTATTTTACGTTATAAGAATCTGATCTTTTTTCAGGTTATGAAAAGCTAAAAGCTTGTTATCCCAAGTAATTTTACCCCAGTTACTACCTGGTATTATCATTTCGTTAAAATATAGGAAAAGAATTTCACAATCAGAGACAAGATTTAAGATTCCAGTGTGTTAGGATGTATTTCTTCAAATCTGTTAATTGGATATGTGGAATTAGCCAAAGTCTGTCTTCGTACTCAGTATCGAAGAGAAAGATGTGGTATTTTATGCTCATTCTTTGCAACAAACAGTGTAGAACAGAAGAAATAAATAAAACATTTAGATAAATTTGAATTGTTGTGGGAGCATTAGAAGACTACTGTAGAAATTGCAGTAAATTGTGGTGACCACCAGCAGAACTGTCTTTCGTTCTGAGGTGTTTCTCATACCTAACTGTGCACGTAAGCGACAACATAACCTTGCGTGGTTACTGACACTGCAGGATTAATTCAAAGTACAGATCTTGCCTTTGTCTCACTAAAAATCAGTCAGGCCAGCTTAAATCAGCTAATCGAGATCTTGAATTCAATATGATTTTTTCTTGACATTGAATTCAGGAGGAACCATTTGAAAACATTTTAATAAATGTCCCCACTGTAGGTAATTCCCCAAATCCTGTGGCACTTCTCCTGGTCAGTACTTATGTTAGGTTGTATATTGATGCAAAATCACTCCTGGGCACTAGTTCATGAATAATGAGATCGTTTACATCTGCTGTGATTTAAGTGCAGTCAGTGTATTCACAGAGCACTTCTTAGAGCCTTTCAGTTGAGAAGCTTTAGTATTTGTTCCTGTTAGTCCAAGGATTACACTCAAAGCCCTCCTAAGGTACAGTGAAAACGTTATCGGAAGACCTGATACCTGTTTGCTTTGGCCACTTCCCAAATAGCATTAACTTAGTTCATACAAACATAAACGGAACCAATGCTTACATGTTTTCTACTAGCCTGATCGATTGACTCGAATAGCGTTACGACAACTTGTGCATCAACCGAGTCATTTTGTGTCTATGAAATGCTTTACAAGCAGTTCGGGGAGTTAAACTATGGAATTGTTGTTTTTCAGTATAGAGAAGTTTGGGGATGCTGGTGATCCTTGATGTTAGGAATTTAGGAGAAAGCAGTAGGAAGAAATGGTTGAACAAAGTTTAGACAGAAAGTGAAGGGGGGGTGGAGGAAGAAAAAGGACACAGAAAAAATAGCTCCTTCTCCCTGAACAGACAAAGGTCTTTGAAGAGGCAGCTTCTCTGTTACAAGGGCTCAGAGTGGGGACCCCTTCTGTGAAGGGGAAAAAAACCAGCCGTGAGCCTTCAAAATGTTATCACTTCTGGTGCCTTACAGGTGCATCTCTGACTGCTAGCTGAGACTTATTTGGATACATGTTTTGGATTTGAAAACACTATAAAATCTAGGAATTCTTCCTCACCGCTCTTTTAGTTTCTAAAATACTTATTTTCTTTAGTGTAACTAAGTTAGCTGTCATGTACTTCTCCCTGCGTATTTCTAACCGCTTTGGGAAGCACTTATCTTGGCAAAGAATTACTCTGGTAGAGAGGAGGTAGAGAGGTGAGATAGAAGAAAAAAAATCATCCTTTTGTTTGGAGTTATGGCATGCTTGCAATAACATCGTTCAGATGGTAGAAGATGCTGTTATGGTATATGTAGTGCTTTTATATTTGGGTTTTGGGTTTTTTTTTTTTTTTGTTAAATTAATTCTATTGCTAGCTGACTGAAAAAATTTGGTAAAATAAAAAAAAAACGGAGGTATTAAGAGGCTGAAGTAATGATAAATAATGGGCTTAAGTACACAGTAAGAAAATAAATGTATGGTTTCTTCTGAATACTGGAACTGTACTTGAAGCTCTCCGGGTTTTTCTGGGATATGCTGCTACTCACTGCTCGTTTTAGAAACGGCAGATGACGTGAATGTAGAATATTGTCTGTTATTTGTGTTTTGCTAGTACATAGGAGAGGTAGTCATTGCCCAGAGAATCTAAATGAATTTTGCCATAAGCTGTAATGTTGTCTTCTGTTTTCTCGGAACTGTTGAAGTATGATAGTTAAGTATTTCTTGACATAAAAACGTGTACAAACAGGGGACTGATTTCTCTGTGGGATCTCACTTAAAGACCGTGGAATCTTACAGCGTGTTCTGGTTTGTGAAATAGTTCAGCAACTCAAGTGAGACTGCAAATCGATGCTTTGTGCGCTCACTACTTAAGTTTTATGTATTCTCTGAAAGTATTGTGGTACTACTAAAGAAGGGGCCAAGATGTCTGTATAAAGAAGGATAAATCTAGAATTCTGCTGCTAGCCTCTGAGATTTAGGTTCATCTTGGTATATAATTAAACCAAACTGTGATTCTGTAGCTAAAAATTGGCAACCCACTCATTAAATGACAGTGTTAGACAAGCCAGACCCCTAATAATTCCATGAGAGAAGATTTATTTGTGGGAGACTTTGAGTTGTTGGGGTTTTTAGATATGCCTTTGTAATCCTGTAGGTCCCCTGGTTGTTTCATAGTTGTTTTTCTCTGTCAACAGAAAATCAATTAAAAATCAAAGAAGAAAAAGAGGAGGTGGAGGAGCAGTCAATGGAATCAGAAAGCCTTCCTCTTCCTGTGGTCAAAGAAGATGAAAATACGCTGAAAATTGAGACAGTGGAAGAAAAAGAGATTATAAAATTGCCAGTAATAGTAAAATTAGAGAAACCTTCAGAATACAATGAAGAAAAGCAAACTGTCAAAGAAGAAAGTGACTCCTTTAAAGAAAATGTCAAGCCTGTTAAAGTAGAGGTGAAAGAGAACAAAACAGAACCAAAAGACTTAAAAGAAGTAAAAAGTTGTACGGACAGAATAGCAGTTCACGAGCCGGAGAGGTTAGAATTTTGTGTCAATGTCAAAACTCCCCAAGAAATTGTGGAGAAATCTGTGGAAGAAAGTGAGAAACTTAAAAATGACCAGCAGGCAAAAATCCCACTTAAAAAGCGAGAGATCAAGCTGACGGATGACTACGACAGTCCGTTAAAGGGGCCCCTATGTAAGTGTGTTACTCCAACAAAGGATGTCTTGAAGGAAGAAGGGAAACCAGAAGAAGAAGCTTTTAAGAGAGTCCCTACAATTACTGCTTTATGTCCTGATGGGAAAGTGCTAGTAAATGGAGAGGTTAGCTGTGAAAAAATAACTCCAAGTGTCATACAAAATAATAAGTCGGAACACTCTGCTTGCACAAAGGAAGACAGCAGCTCATTAAAAGAGAAAAATGGAAAAAGTGGGGAAAAGGTACAGGACTCTCTAAATTCTGTTAGTAAAATCATAAAAGCGTGCGAGGTTGAGAAAAATGCAGTAACTGTGGTGAAAGAAATAGGGGCTGTGGTCTCTGAGGTTTCTAATCAGAAAGTGCCTTTAAAGGAGGAATCTAGTCCTGTGGAAATAGAGTCCCTTGACAGCACGACTGCCGAAACGGTAGTGGAAGAGTCTTCAAACTCTGAAGACTGTGCCAAAACAACTGAAGAGAAACTAGCCACGAAAATCAAAAAGGACAGACTACCACCACCCAAAGAATGTTTAGAGAAGCTCGAGAAGTCCACAAATGCATCTGCTCCTGCAGAACTGCCCAAGCTTACGCTGTCTGATGAAGAGACTTTGAAAAGTAAAGGGGAGTCTGAGGAGCAACCCGATTCTCCAAAAGCTGCTGAGATGCCCCCTGCATCTACTTCTCCTGTTAATTTAGAGAAGCCTGTTTTGGAAAAGGAGGGCTCTGATAGTAAACCAGCTCTACCTGAGGAGAGCAAAGTAGAAGAAAAACCCAGCCCTGAAGAACAAGAGGGAGAGCCGGAAGCTGCCAAGACAGAGCCAGATGGATTAGACGATGCCCATGCTTCTAATCTGGAGGACTCATCGGAGAGTAAAAAGGAATCTCCGCTACCTAAAAGCAAATTTAAATATAAGCTGGTTTCTGAAGAAGAAAGCTGTGCAACAGATAATAAAGAAATAACTTCTGAAAGACAAAAAGAAGGAATTAAATTAACAATCAGGATATCCAGTCGGAAGAGAAAGACAGAAACACCACCAGAAGAGGTCAGCATTGGCCGCACATTAAGGCGATCTCCGAGAATATCCAAGCCTACTCCAAAAGTTGTGGAGACTCGGGATCAGAAGCCTGACAAAAAACGACCTGAAGAGGAAGAGGAGAAACCTGCAGCAACACAAAAACCGGAACGAAAAGAAGATGCAAAAAAACAAGAGAAGGAGTCAAATTCTAAGGTTAACAAGGTAATACAGTTTTATTACCCGGGAATAAAGAATACCCACAGTCTTATCTATAAGGAGAATATACACTTACATAGGAATATTGAGGATTTTGTTCCTTTGGTCAGCTTTTACAAGGAACTGGCTTTGCAAGCCAGTTAGTGGACTCGACAAACCTAAAAACGCTCCCTAAGAGAGTGTTGACTTACCAGTTTATAAAACCTGTCGTTTAACCTAAACTAAGTAGACCAAGTCAACCAGAGTGAATTCTTCTAGGAAATGAAATGATCAGACCTGAGTCAGTCTGGCTGAGTGGCTGAATGGAGACTTCTAGCTCCTGTGGATTTACTAGATGGATACTTGTTGGTGTCCGGTTGGTCAGGATGATCGTAAGCCACAAAGGAACCAAAAAAAAAAAAAGGTGAAGAATAAAAATATTATGACTTCTGTTTCTAGGTGAAGCTAACGTTATTGTTTGGGTGAGTTCATGATATAATTTAGCTTTTCTCATACCTGGGATATAAATTTGACTTTGGGTGGAGGTGTCTTTTTTTCATGATAAACTTTTGCTTATGCAGCAAAAATATGTAAAACTATGTCAGGTAAATATGACACAAGAAGTTAACTGTACACATGTATAGTGTGCTCCGAAATCTGTGTAATCATAAATACCTTTTATTAATTTATCTTCCTTTTTTTTTCTGGATATGCAGTACAAAACAGAAACAAGGAACAAAGTAGTCTGTATTTTTAGTGTCCTCTTTTTATATCAACTTGAAATCCTATTAATTTTTCCACTGCTACACATTTTCCTTGCTGATTTTTTGTGGTTCTACTAAGACATTCACTTATTTAGCAAGTTTGCTTCCACATACTGCTATATTGAATAACCTTTGTAAAATGAACAGTTGTTTTTACAATGAATGATTGAATGAACTGAAAAAGTGTCATATACATAATGAAAAACAATTTTACTTTAAAGATTAATTTTAAAATTTCATTTACAAATATATATTTAAATCATAGTGATTGTAAGTCCACAAATAGTTTTAATTTTGAAGTACTGTTGCTATAGGAGTTGATCTCTTGATCTCTTTTTTTGAAACGTACTGAGATATAAAAATACTTACTTATCTAGAGAGATTTCAAAATAAATATGATAGAGGAAGAAGTTTGAAACTAGTAAGATTTTGTCATTTTATCAAAATGAAAAATACCCAGATTTTTAATAGGCTATTTTATATTTGTTTTCTTTTAAAGAAGAGTTTTTAAAAACTGAATTTGAAATGATGATGACATTTGATGAAGCCTAAACTTAAACTAATACTACCCTGGATTTAAAATACATTTTGCTACTAAAGTTTAATGAACAGTAAAATCAGTAAAGAGCTGGAAATTAAGGTTAAGAACCTGAAATAAAAATTTACCAGTATGACAAATACTGCTTTGGTATGAGTCTGCCCTGCAGGAGAAATACAATATTTTGTACATTTTAATTTACTCAGGTCATTCAGGTCAATGAGTAGTTTAGTCAAAATTGAAAAATGCTTTGAATTGAAAAAGCTAGAAAAGTGGGGTTTTTTTCCTTTTTCAGTGTTTGGGGAGGGAAGGAGTTAAGAGAATAATGTCTATAAGAAACAAGTCAGTTAATGGAAAGAAAAGTTTCTTCTGTTTCACATGTTGCTTTAAATACAAAATATCCTAGTTGCAGCAAGTAGTTTTATCTAATAGAAAATAATACTCTGAATTTTAATCAAAATCTATTTTCATTCAAAATACTTTTTAAACAAATCACTAGTAAAACTTAACACATCTAGAGAATGAGAGATGTCATCTTCCACTGTGTAAAATAAAAAGGTGGAAAGTTCAAGTTAATACATGGTAAGACATATGGTTGCTTTACTAAGGTAGATAGGATACAAAGGGATAGATGGCCCTTGGATTAGCAAAAAAGAAGCATCAACTGAATCAGAAAAATAATGGAAAAGAATAAACATGAAAAAAGACCCAGGTATAAGTTATGCACTTAAAAGGTGCAGTGATTTTATTTCAGAAAAGTATGCCCGTCTTAGAGGAAAGCACCAGAAATACTGAAGTTAATATACTTGTTAGAGTACAAACATGTTTCCTAAAGCAAAATAAAAGACACAAACCGTACATGGGGAAAAAAAAGAAAAGATTCTCTTTGCATTGAGGAAAGCTATCATCAAAAAGTCAGAAAGTTTAAATGTGACAGTTACTGTGTTTACAAGCAGGTTTTCTGTGTCAAAATAGAAACAAGGGCCCGAGCGACAAATTTCTCTTCCTGCTTTTAAATTGTAGTTGAAAATTTCGCTCTACTGGTAGATGTGAATTTTTTCCCTTTGCTATCCTGTTGCACTTTGGCTCTTTGAAAGATTGTCTGTTCATTGAAATGCTCTGTTGTAAATTTACTGCAGCTGTTCTCATTGAAATAAATCACTTCACTGTAGAGAAAGATATTTTTTAAGGTCTGGGAAGAAACTCTGTAAGCTTCCTTTGTGTTTTCTCTTTGAAATGGTATGTCTCATAGAGAAGCAAAGTTCGGTGGACGGGTACGCGAACGCGTGGCAGGTGGAAATACTCAAGTAATGAAGAAAGTGAGGACTCAGAGAGTGAAAAAAACTCTGATGAGGAGGAGGAAGAGGAAGAAGAGGAGGAAGAAGAAGCTGCACCTGCTGATGACGATGAGCCATGCAAGAAGTGTGGCCTTCCCAATCACCCAGAGCTGGTAGGGGAAAGCTGCTGTCAGCTGTAGTGTCAGATTTGGTGGACTGGCTTTGGTGGTATCTGGAGGCACATCATCCTTTGGGGTGGCTGTACTTAGGAGAATACCCTCTAGGTTTTAGGTGGTAAACTCAGGACAGGAGATGAGTTTAACTTTAATAAGGAGGGAAGGACGTTGTTTCTTCTATTTACCACCTCTGAAATGTCTTCTTTTATGAGGAATAACACAATTTAGCCTCACCCAGATTCATTCTCAATGTGCTATCTCAGTGAATACAGAGGAGACAACATTAAAACCCCAGTGGTGTAATGTATGCTTTCCAGTGTCTTGTGACATGGTCACAGCTGCACGTCACCCTGCGGACTGGGTACAGCAAAATCCTCTACGGAAAGAACACAACGAACTGCCACTGTTTCTAATGTTTATGGTTCTGGTTCATCAACAGTAGGTATCATCATGAATTCCTCTGTTTATCTGGGGAATCATAACGTGCAGTCCTGCTGTGAATCCACAAAATAAGCATACTTTCAGGTGTAAGACAGATATCCTAGCATAGTTGAGACAAAGTTCGAACTTTGGGAACAGGGAAAACAGTTCATACCACATCTTGTCCAGATGGAGTTTTCCACTTAGCCTGGGATCTGGAAAGCATTATCAAATTCTACACTATGGACACACAGTCTACGTAGCCCAGTAGTACTAAGTGCCTGAGAACACATAATAAGAGGAAATCTGGTGTGAAAATGTAAGTGTGATACATTAACTTCCCCATAAAATCCACCCCTGGCCCTGGAAACATCTAGTGATAAGTGATACAGGATTTTTTTTTTGTTTTGGCACAGTCCAGAGTATTTATAAAGCGCTTCTGTTTTGGCTGGAGGAAGTAGTTCTGGAGCTTGTTACATGTTGTGAATGCCAACAGATACTCATGATTCATTTTGTTTCTACAGATTTTGTTGTGCGACTCTTGTGACAGTGGGTACCACACAGCCTGCCTTCGCCCTCCTTTGATGATAATCCCTGATGGAGAGTGGTTCTGCCCACCTTGCCAGCACGTACGGTTCCTATTTGACTTCACTGTTCTCCATTTCAGCTTTGCTTGCGGTTGTGCAGATTTGCTGGGAGTTTAACAAGTTCTTTTAGCTTTTTTTCTGTTCAAAAATAGACTGTGATGGATTGTAGGGATGCTTGTGGTTTTCCTTTCCCTTTCTTTTTTCTGCTAGCGATGAATGACTGTGTGTTGCTGATGTGTAGATGGGAATCTCCAACCACACTGTTCTTCTTCCATCTTTGGTTAAATTACCTCAAGCCCAATGTAGTATTGAAAATATATCATCTTAATTTTTCCCAAAAGAAACATCATGCTGTTATCTTGGAGGGGGAAGTGGTAGGCAGTGAGGGATAGCAGCAAAGCAAGCAGCTCTTTCTGAAGTGCTGTTCCTTCTTCAGAGACATTTGTTCAGAGGCTGGTTAGGGAAAGCTGCTGTTTCTAATGAGTCTCACGGTATAGTGTGCCTCTGCTGGGAAAGCCAGCATTGTCCTTGTCAAGTAACAGACAAGTCTGAACGCTTTTTTGAAGGCTAGAAGCTGCTTCTGAAAAAAAAATACAAGAAATTAGAGCATGTGTCCAGTTTCATTTAATGCACGTCTTAAAATAGCAAGATTTACAGGGATGGTGCCTGGAAGGATAAGCCAGAGTGTGTGATGCCGTTCTTGTTAAATTAATGGGGAACCATTTCTGCACATTTTCAGAATAATTTGCCTGATCCCACACCCCTTCCTTGCTTTTAGAAAAAGTCTTTGGCAAAAGGGCCGTTGCCCTGCAAAAAGCTAGCCACACTGGACATGACTGATACGGCTGGATTGGGCATTGATTTTTAGTCATCTTCTGAGGAGTATTTTTAAGTAGTGATGATCTTGAATATGTAAGAATGTTTTCTTTACACAACTTGGGATTGCAGCTTGTAGTTAGAGCATCTCCTTCCTCTGTTGTTGTTTAGTAATTTTTAATGTGAAAAATGACAGGTTTGTAAAAGCGTGAAGATCATCCTTGGAAATAGTACAATGAAGACGTTAACATGGAGTAAGGCACAATTTGTCCATAAAAAAGTCATTTTTACATACGGCTCCTTGAGTATTAAGCAGTGTTCTAACATATGGTAAGAAGGTGATCCTGATGTGCATCTCTGCTTTTTACTGTGGTGTCCACAGACTCATGTTCTCCAAAGATTAAGACAAGGGACAACCAGGCATCACTGTGTGTGTATGCACCCAGCTTTCTGTATGTATATTATATGTGACTGAAATCCTCAGGTTTCTTTGAGGCAAAGTTGTAAATACCAACAAAAACATGGTACTAATTTAGAAGTATGTTTGTTTTAAACATCTTTAATACGTGCTTTAGGTACATTGCTTCCTACAGCAAATGCCAGTTACTGGAAGGTTGCATCATCTGTAGCAGTTCATGGTGAAGCACGTGTGTTTTAGGAAGATGGTCTTTGCTGTAAAGCCGTGCTCATCAAAGAGGAGCCTTCAGTGTAGCAAGGCACTCGCCCTTCTTCCAGACAAATAAAAAAATACTGAATGAAGTGTCTAAACATTAATTCAATATGAAAACAGTTGGTTATGAAAGAAACTAATCTTGTGTTTCATTCCCTTAGAAATTACTCTGTGAGAAATTAGAAGAACAATTACAAGATCTGGATGTTGTCTTAAAAAAGAAGGAGCGTGCAGAACGCAGGTACTGTTCTTTGGTTGCGTTCACAGCAAGCTGCTACGCAGAGGGGTAGTAATTGAACAAGTGTTACAGTAACTGGGGACTGAGGAGGGAAGTAGCGATGAGACTGGGAACTGGTAAGCCCAGTTTTGACTTCCCATTGATTACTGGTGGTGCAGTGCTGGGAGAGCTTGCAAGAAGGGAGGAAAAAATCCAACAATTGGAAAAGATAAGCAAATACATTTATATTAAACTGTGGTCAAGGTGCCTGAATACAAATTTGGCTTTCCCATACCAGTAGTTAAACGGTTTTCAGCACTGGTTCAGCTGCATGTGTTAGTAATACTGTCACCCTGTGCAGAGTTCCTGCCGTAAGCAAGGTTAAGGCCTGACTTTGGAACAAAAGTCATCCAGATTAATGTGATTTTTGAGTCTTGTTGCTTTAGATTCTGTTAAAGTTTGCTGAATTTACAAGACCATGCAATTGCTGTAGTGGGGAGTCAGCTAAATTACAACTTTGAATGAAATTTTCTGTCTGCCACTTCCATTATCAAAGGCTAAATGCAAACTGGTCTACTGCACTTATGAACAACATCCTTAATATTTGGAACATCCTGTCTGCAGTTTTCAGGCCTGAAAACGAGGGACATGAAACACAGTCTGCATAATTTATACCTTTTAGGACATATATTGAGTCCTTTGCAAAATTTAATAACATCTGTATGCATTATTAAAGAAAACTTTGCATGATTTGTGTCTTAAAAGGCAAATTTCACCAGAAGGTGAGACCCTTTTAAAGAAAGTAATTGAGCAGGTTTCTATTTGTAGCAGGTCCGGGGATGTCACATGGGATATAGTGATTTGGTGCTGGGAAGAGCAGAGCACGATCTGTGTCTGCTTTCAGCTTCCTTCACATCTCCTGGTCGTTACTGCTGTTGCAGCAGCAGCAATGATAGTGACAGATCAGGTACTGACTGTTCCCAACATCGCTGTTTCTGCCTAGAGTGGATCTAGATCACACTGGTAAAATTACCCATGGCTTGCCAATTCTAGTGAATTTGTAGCTTTGGGAACTGAACTATTAGCTATTTTTATGAGTGAGCTCAGCTTACGCACAGCCTCCATCTGTGCAGGAGTATGGGACGCAGAGGAACTGTGTCTGCTGCTCTGCTTTATGGTGGGAAGACTTGTTACTAGTGACCAATATTTTTTGGACCTACTTTGGTAAATATTCTGCCGGCAAACAATACATGGAATGCAAGCTTTTTCCAGTCTGTCTTGCTTGCTTGAAATCACTAGTGTTGCATAAAAATATGATCTCTTAATGGTTACAAGAGAGCATACAAGTGATATCATAGCACTTTTCAGTCTCTGAAACAGATGTTTAACAACCATTTTGCAATCTGATCCTCATGCTAAATGAACCTAATGTTTTATATTGTATATCATGACACTGATTTTTTTTTTTTTAAAGTCTCTTAAAAAGAGAAATGAGCTTGGGTTATAAAAGACTTCATGATACAATAGTTAAATATTGAAGTCTTTCATCTTAATGGTGGTATATTTTAGCAAATTGTAAGGTAAAAAGGCTGAGGAATTATAATGCTAGAAGAAATTATAGTCCTTATTACAGCTGGTATAAAAGTTAAAGCAGGTTGGTTGTTTGGGGCATAGAAATATTTTAATGTAATGTTTCTGTAAAATCACAGTACATGTTGTCTGTCTTTTTGGCAAACAGAAGAAAACCAACTGTCTCATCATGGGCACACACACTGAATAGATTCTTTGAACCAGTGTTGTTATCGAGCTTTTTGAACTAGTAATGCTGTCATCCTCTTTCAATTATTCTCTAGCTTTCCGGAATCTGATTGAAATTGATTGAGCTGCTCAGCTACATTCTTACGCATCCCTACAGCATTCCATCACAATTTTTTTAACAAAAACTTTAGGTTTCACGAAAAACTTTAAATTTCATGTTGACTTACAAATACGTAGATCAAAGTGATACTTTTTTTTCCTGTTCATGAATTCAAACAACAACCTGCCTGAATTTCCCGTTTCTCACATACATGCTAACTTCTAGAATGATGTCCTGCCACCAGCTAGAGGGAGTGGACATCAGAGCTTTTGTGGATGCCCCTTGTAGTTCATGGTAGAGACTCTCAGACTTCTGGATGGAAAATCCTTTTAGGGACTACTTGTCTACTTCCCCCAGGCCAAATCAGGTGCAGTACTTCCTTTCACACACACTGTCATGACTTCCCTGAGTGACTTCCGCAGCTGCTTACATGTGCGAAAATGTTTTCTGGAGTCATCTAGGAAGAGTTTATAACCAATCAGTGCTAAGTTATGGGAATCGTCACAAACAGATCTGCAGAGCCAATGTCCTGACTGAATTCGCCAGCAGGAGGAGAAGTTGTATGTTCTGGGTTTGCTTTTTAATTTATTTTATTTTTAATTTTGCATTACAAGAAATGAGAAGTGGGAGAAACTGTCAAAGATGCTTGCTGAATACTAAAGTGTTTAAATTTCTAGCTCCTTTCTCATTTTAGCAGTTGTCTTAAGATGCTATTTTAATTCATTTTCAAGAGCATAGTGATATTGCACAGTGCATGTCAAAATTCTTCCTCATCCAGCCAATCTCAACAGTGCTCAGATGGATGAAGATTTCTTTTCATCTAACAGTTTGGAGAACTGGCATTAGGAGACAAAACCAATTACTTTGTACACAGCCAGAAATTTCAATTTAGATATAATGACACCGAGTTGTCAACGTTCATGGTCTTTTTGGCTTTAAAACAACCTAAAATCCATTTTTACTCTTTGTCAGTATTACTTTAGGAACCGTACTTATGTTATTTAAGAAAAGAATATTATGCTAGATTCTTTCAGGAAAGAGTTCTCCAGGAGGTTATTTGGATAAAAAAGTATAGTGCAGAAGACTTAAAATTTACTTAGATTCTTTAGAAATTGATGAAAGTATTGGAAACAAAATTTTTACACATAAATGCCTCTATTTGCAAAAAATAATGCACGTATGAAGTAAACTTATCTAAATTTAATATGCATCTCAGGCGTTTTCTGTACAGGTCTACATGATGCATTCTGTTGTGACTCAATTGTAATGTGGTGTGAGCTCATACAACCACTCACTGTCACTTCAGAAGTCTGATTCTGGTTGATTGAGACTCTTTAGCTCAGAAACCCAGAAGAGGTTAGCATCTGTTCTCGCACAATTTCGCTTCAACGTTACTGATGTTTCAGTGGATCCTGAAAGTTGGAGGTCTGCTGGCAAAAGCCTGGTTCATACCTTGACCCTCCTCCCCCATTTCCTCCCCCCCCGGTTGTTCTTCAGACTGTATGGTCTAAAATACTGTTATTCAAAATCACTTTGAAATCTGTAGAGATGTGGCTTGCTTTGAGTGTCCTTGCAGAGCCCAATAAATGCCACCACCTTTCTTTGATACCTTCATTTGTTTAAATTATCCCTTGTTTTCCTAGAAAAAGGCTGGTGGGGACCTATGGTGATGGGAGTTTGGTTACCCACGCCGGTCTGTTGCAGTACCTGGCTATTCTTCCTGACAGACTCCTTTTCTAAAGCTCAGTTCAGCTGAAGAGCAGCACCCAGTGCTGTTTGTGAGGTGCGAGGATATCCAAGGCATCTCTAGTTGGGACTGACAGATACAAGACCTATGGGATACTTGTGTCCTTCAGGAGCTGCAAGCAGAGGCCAGGAGCTGGAGTTGAGCCCAGGGCAATTCAGATGATGCTAGTGTTGAGGCAAACTAAGTCTAAATTTTACTTAATTTGATTTAATCCTGTAACATACTGTGGACAAGGAGGACAGCCTACTTCTTACAAGAGTCTTTCCTGTATTTGAGTACTGTTCTCTCTCCCACCTTCGGCCTAGTGTTCTCTAGACCAATTTATTCTATTTTTTCAGCCTTTCTCAACAGGTCATGTCTGCTGCCCTCCAGTAACTCCTACTGGCTAGCTCTGAACTCTTCAGCTGGATCTCATCTTTCTTGAAGTATGAGTGGTGCTCAGATGGCACCAAGGCCTCCAGTTAGGTGTGAAACGGGCTGACTACCATGGCAGTTGTCCTGTAGGCTGTTCTCCTGTTCACATATCCATCTGTCATCATAGTTGTTTCCGCAGCAGCTTGACTCTATTGATCTTTGTTCAGGCTGTTCTCCTCTGGCAAAGAATTGCTACGTAGGCGGTTATTTGTCCTCTGGTGTTTCTAGAGTTGATGGTTCCTGCCTGGATCTAAAATCTGGCACTTGCCCGTTTTGGATTGCATCCAGTCTTTATGTAATTTTACCAGTTCAGTGTGATTTCGAAATTCTCATTTTATTTTTCAGCACCTCCAAGGTTGGTGGTAGTTACGGATCTGACAGCATAATCTTCATCACAACATTATTATTTTTCATTTGGTTTTTAATTGTTTTTTACACCCCAATTCAATCATTTCTGTGGTGCCTGTAATCTTCAAGTACCATTGTTTGTGAGAACTCTTTGGAAATCCCTTGCATTATGCATGCAGGAAAATGTAATCGTATGAGATTTAGTACATAATTCCAGCTAAAATAACTGTTTTCAGTTGGAACATCCTCTTGGGATGCTTCTGCCAAGCGATAGTAAGAGCTTCAAATGGTGCTAATTACAGCATTATTTTAGATATCTGCAGTCTTTCTGTAAGCTTATTTTTATTTTTTCTCTCCTAAAGAAAAGAGCGATTGGTGTATGTGGGTATCAGTATTGAGAACATCATTCCACCTCAGGTAAGTTACTGTGTCTATGTTTTATTACTGTTTTATTTTTCAAACTTCTCAGGGATGAAGTTTCTCAGTGATGTATTAGATGTGCTAGTAGCATCTTGGAAAGAAAAATCAATGCATATGCGGGTCAGAAATAATTCTAGACCCTTCATTTTAGACTGAGATTGAATTTAGCAGAGAAACCAAGGGAGCTTTATCATGTTTATTAGAGCCAACTGGTGCTACATGGAGTCCTCTGTCAGTGAAGGATGGCAGAATCACCTCCCTGCCCATTACAGTTGGGTCTTGAGTAGAGTGCTCTACTGTTCTGTAGTTTATAAAGGTGGGATTCAGTTTGTTTGACTCTAGTGTCTGCTGTATAGTTATCTAGGCCTGAGCTAATTGTCATAGCTTTCCTTTGGAAACAAATGTTTCTGGCTTATGGCTCAGAGAGAATATGTAGTATCTATTAGAAGCATAACATTTGCCTCCAACAAATGTGTATTGAAGTCACATGTGGTTAAAAACTATAAACATTTAGTGGTTTATTAGCAGATGCTTTTATATGGTTTCCCTTTGCAGAAGAGGAAAAATGTTTTTATTCATGTGGAGAACAGCCTCTTCTCACTTCTTAAATACATTCTAAAGTGATTCACTTGAAATCTTAGCCAAATGCCTTTGTCTGAAATTACGGAATCTGTTCCTTGCATGCGAGTTTAAAGTGAAACTTCTGTTTGTTTTAAACATGGACTTTCCACTCTAACTGACTGTAATAAAGCCAGCTTTCTCCCTTTGTCTCTGGGTAACAGAAAAACAATAACAGATTTTACAAACTTGCCAAAGAGTCTATGGCTGGGAGCAAATATTTGAAAAATTCAGCCTGGGGGCAGATTATTTTTTTTTGTGTGTGTAAGTTAATAACTTGGAAAGAATATCATAAAATTAATCTGCGTGGAACTTTATTGAAACTGCACCTTGTAAAGGTGTCCCTGTGCTTGGTATGTAGAGATGCTAGCAACAATTTGTTCAGCTGCTGCATTTACTAGTGCTGTGAGTATCACCCGAGGCATGATCTCAGTGCTGTAGTATAAACACAACGATACAATAGCCTCAACCCTTAAACTCTGTATTTATGAAATTATGTAGCCAGGAAGAGCAATATCTGCATGTGTTCAGGTGTAACAAGTCAAAATATTAGAAGCCAAAATGTGTTAATGTGTTGTGTTGGGCATATGAGTTTTCTAGGTCGTATAAATATCTGTATTGTACAAGTTCACTCATGAGGAGCGTGGAGGTAGGGGGGAGATAAAGCTTTTTGACACTTTGCTGTTATCTGAACAGGAGCCAGAAATACCTGAAGGTCAGGAAGAAAAGAAGAAAGATTCCAAAAAGCCAAAATCAAAGCTGCTTGAAAGGAGATCTACCAGAACCCGAAAATGCATAAGCTACAGGTCAGTGGCTGTTTAAATAGTTGGTAAACCAATATCATCTTTACATGAAAGGGGCATGAAACTTAAAATGCAATTATGAGACAGTACGTCTAAAACTGGTCTGTACCTCTTTAGAGAAACTGTAATAAAAATGCAATTAGTAGACTAAAATTCCAAGATATTTAGACTGTGCATTCTGAAAGTAGAGCAGGCCATTAAAGTTTCCAAAACTCAGCATGATCTTAGTATTACCTTTTGTTCTCAGTATATTACCAAGGTGTTTTATAAACTATTTTCTAAATAATACCTTGAGATGCTCTGTATCCTCTTCAGTCCACCAGGCAGGTAGGCTGCCTTTCGGGATTAGAGAAGAATCTGGCTGCCTGAGAGCTTGTGGGTTTTTGTCCCAGTTGCATTAGGAGTACAAAAAAAAAAAAAAAGCGTTGTTTCCTGTACTTGCTCTGTGTAGACCTTTATCATCAAAAATTAAAACATTACAACTTCCAAAACCTTCCAACAATAACCATGATTAAACTCACAGTTGATCTGGTTTTGCCATTGAGGAGAGGCACGGCGTTTGTATTCGCTGAGTTTTCCGGCCTTTGCAGAAAACGCAGTCTGACCTTGCTTAGCTGTTGATTTTCGGTAACTTTTTAAATTAACAACATAAGCCACACTAATGAAAATGCCATTGCTGCTTTGGGAAATTAAGTATTTCTGTAAGGAACATTATGCCACAGGCAAGATTATATAGATTTGCTATTATTTTCATGACAGCTCAGGCAGAATCTGACGAGGAGAAATAAACCCCTTGCCCGTAGGGTATCTGGCATGACTTCAGCAGGCACACAGT